ACTATTACAGGAGGCAGACTTTCCTATTTTAGCAAATCCAGCCCCGAAACATTTTCACCGCTTGCTTTAACTACTGCAAGTCATGTCTTCTCAAGAGTCTCTTTCGAACTGTTCAATGTCACGTACGATTTGAACAAGGAGTTAAATGCCCAATGCCTAAAGATGCTAGCCAGCGGCCATTGCTGTCAAATAACTATGACATCATCGGGATTATTTTCTTTATTATCTTCGTCATCTTGGGTTTTCTTCTGCTGTTAATGTTATTTTGAAACGTTTGTTTTCTTTCTCTGTTTAAATTTCTTTTGGTCTTCTTCTTAGTTTGGATGTGCAAATTGTAATCATTTGATCTTTTCTTCCTCTTTAATATTTTCAGTTGTATTTTTCTTCACTCCAGGATTTTTCTTTCAAAGATTTGTTTTTCCACTCAATGCTCAATGCAAGGTTTTCATTTGGCTTCCTCTGATCGTTGGTCGAATCCTAATATTCTCGTTCTTTTCTTATTTTGTTCATTATTTTGATTTTCTTCCGCTTCATGGAATTGTCAGAATCTTATTTTCTTTTTCTTCTGTTCTGTTCTATTCTGTTCTGTTCTTTCTTTCTTTCTTTCTTTCTTTCTTTCTTTCTTTCTTTCTTTCTTTCTTTCTTTCTTTCAGTCTACCGTTTAACCCTTTCCGTCTAAATGTTCATATATCTCTTTCTTTCTTTCTTTCTTTCTTTCTTTCTTTCTTTCTTTCTTTCTTTCAGTCTACCGTTTAACCCTTTCCGTCTAAATTTCATATATCTCTTTCTTTCAGTCTTTTTTCTTTCTTTCTTTTCCCTTTCTTTCGTCTAAATGTTAACCTTTTCCGTTTAAATTTCATATATCTCTTTTCTTTCTTTCTTTCTTTCTTTCTTTCTTTCTTTCTTTCTTTCAGTCTACCCTTTAACCTTTTCCGTTTAAATGTTCATATATCTCTTTCTTTCTTTCTTTCTTTCTTTCTTTCTTTCTTTCTTTCTTTCTTTCTTTCAGTCTACCGTTTAACCTTTTCCGTTTAAATGTTCATATATCTCTTTCTTTCTTTCTTTCTTTCTTTCTTTCTTTCTTTCTTTCTTTCTTTCTTTCAGTCTACCCTTTAACCTTTTCCGTTTAAATGTTCATATATCTCTTTCTTTCTTTCTTTCTTAAACATTTCTTTTTTCTTTGAGTGCGTTTTTTCTTATCGATGTAAATATTTCTTTTTTCTTCTTTATAGTTTTTGTGTGTCATTTCTTTCTTTTTAATATAAATAACTCCCTTTCTTTCTTTCTTTTTTTTTTCTTTCTTTCTTTCTTTCTTTCTTTCTTTCTTTTGTTTCTTTTTTCAATCTATTGTTCTTTTTTATTTATTTCTTATGCATATATTTTTCTTTCATTCTTTTTGTCGGCTTTATCGTTCTTATGATTCATTTCTTTCTTTTCAATATAAATCTTTCTCTCTTTCTTCTTTATATATATTTCTTTCTTTTATATGCATATATTATCTTTATTTATTTTCTTTCTTTTACTCTTATGCATATATTTTTTCTTTCCGTCTTTCTTATGCATGTATTTCTTTCTTTCTTTCTTTCTTTCTTTCTTTCTTATGCATATATTTTTCCCTTTTTCTTTCTTATGCATATATTTTCATTCCTTATCTCTTATTCATATATTTTTCTTTCTTTCTTATGCATATATTTTTCCTTCTTTCTTATGCATATATTTTCCATTCTTCCTTTCATATGCATATATTTTTCCCCTTTTTTTCTTATACATATATCATTCTGTCTTTCTTTATTATGGATATATTTTCATTTTTCTTTCTTTCTTTCTTTCTTTCTTTTCTATGTAATTAAATATTCCTTTTCCTTTGTTTTCCTGCCTTCTCTTTCTTTCACTTTTTCTATTTGTTTTAATTCCTTTCCTTCAAAGTCCATACTTGTTCTTTCAATCTGTACTTCATTTTCAGTCATTTGTTTTTTCCCTTCCCTACTTAATATCCTTTTTTTCAGTTGAAAAAAAATTTCTTGTTTATTTTTATTTTTTTTTTGCAAACATCCAAAGACTTTTTCAACCAGACAGTTTGTCTCCCTCTGAAAAGTATTACTTTCTTCCTCTCTTAAGTCTTTTCTTCCTCAGGCTGCCAGTTCAATGTCTGCTTAGTCATTTCTTTACAAAATGCCGGCTTATTGACCGGTGGCAGAAACGCTACTCACCCCTGACCACTGACTTTTCGAGAACATCGACTCATCGTTGAAATCTCTGTTTGGGAATCTTCCCACATCGGTTATTCAAATCATTCCTAAGTATGTAGCGACTTGCCAACATGGCGTATATAAAACTTCGCTTCTTACGAGATCAAGATTAATTTGGTTTCGATTTAGAAAGGGAGATCATCAGTATGATGAACAGAAAGAGAAACTGAAACATACATAACACCTTCACACACACGCACACACACACACACACACACACACGCACACTCACACACAAACATATATTATCAATAAATCGAAAAATTCACGATACTTATCTGAATAGTCTTTTTTCTAAAAAATCATTTAACCCCAAGCAAGGCAATAAAGTCACTAAGACGCAAGAGATTACCGAGTGTTAGAGAATATGAGAAAAACACTACTAAGGAGAGAGAACAATAAAAGAATAGGAATTAAGAAAACAGAAGATATCGATTGACATTGTATTAAAATTTTTGATGATCAATGTTGACTGGGAAACAAAAAAATCCAGAAAGTGTTCCAAAAGCGAGAAGTGCAATAGAAGAAAAATTTAGCATAGAACTTACGGTTACATCTAGCCATTTCAATTGTAAAATGATCAGATCTTGTGACCAATCAAGTACTTAAATTCATAAAGTCTAGCTGTTGCTAGTGGAAAGTTCATCAGAACATGAAGGTATTTTTAGAAAAGTCACTGGGAAGCTACGTTACGGCGGTGGGAAAGAGCCTGAAGCCGAGAGACCAGACCAGGACCTATAACATTGCAGATTCTTCACTGTATTTTATCAAGAATCTCTAAATATATAGCAGGAGTACCAGACCAGATGTGACTGTAACAGTCAAACCAAGGATGAATTGTAGATATAAATATGCAAGTTAGATTAAGGTGAGAAAAATTATATCTAGTCTTGACTAGAAGTTCTTCGATCTTAACGCTCCTCAGGGTCAAGATAAGTATAATTGTATTATTGTACCGTATATACTCGTGTATAAGCCGATTCCAATTATAGTGCGACGCCTGAATCTTTTTAAATGAATTTTAACCTCTCCAAAAAAAAAAAAAAAAAAAATCCCCAAAAAACCCTGTGTCTAGTGCAACTGGGCACCGAAAATGCACGATTTGTTAATCTCTTCAAAAATTAACTGTATATAGTTCAACCTACTATCTTTTTTTTTTACATAAAACTGATTATAAAAACTCACAATATACTCCACTAAATACAGAACATTTTTTTTATAAACGTTTATTAAATAAGCGAACTAAATTTTAAAATTATTTTTTTAACTTACAGAAAACTGTCAATCCTGTGACAGCATAAGTGAGAGCTTAATTATTTTTACATTAAAAAAACTGATAATTATTGTTTTATTCATGTTATAATTTTAGTTTGATATATGCTAGAACTCTATAATATAAATTGATTTAAATATAATAAAGAAATATTTAAATCAGGAATTGCTTAATTAAGTAGATACCACGTATTTAAAAAAAATGTATGTTTTGTTTTCTGTGATATTTAGAAGTTTAGAGGTGCAGGGATTTATCACTTGTTTCCTGTTTAGGATTGGGTTAGCAGTTCCTTCTAAAGTTTTCTCGTTTTCTTTTATTCCTAGTATCCCCTTGCGTCTTAGTGGCATTATCACCTTGCTTGGGATGAACTGATTTAAAAAAAATATATATAAAGAAATTGAGTATGAATGGTGAACGTTTTTATTTATTGATAATAATTATTACTTTAGATATTTATTTAACATTCTTATTCTGTTCACCTTGGCATATATATATAGTGTACCAATGTAGTGTATCAATTTAGATGCTCGTTCAGAGATTGTATTTCTGGTACTAATAATAAAGCCACTACATATATTGGTTTTACTACAACCACGCTATCCCGTAGACTTACCTGTCACCTTTCTGATCTTAGTCCTATTAAACAACATTTCTTAGAAAAACATAGCCATATATATATATAATATCAGACATATTAGTAAAAAGAACCTTAAGATATTGGAGGCCATCTACATTAAAACAAAGAAACCCACACTCAACAAAATTACATTTCAAACCAGTCACAACACATTACATTGCATCTAGAAATATGGTTCTGTTGTTAATATTTCGGTCTCTCCCGTGGTATGATGTCATCGAACCGCATCATGAATTTACGACCTGCGTCTGCTATTCCACGACCTTTATCGTCGCATTGAAATCTTCTATATCAACATAGCAGAATATCCTCTTTGATGGTGAATATCTTTGTTTACATCAAGGAACAGCTTAATAAAAATATCCAAATGTCGGACAATTTTGTCTTTATTTTCACCCGCCATTAAAGCAACCATACAAAGTTTAGAACAGCTCATGATCAAACATAATAGGCATTCATTGTCTGTTATATTTAACTATATATATATATATATATATATATATATATATATATATATATATATGTGTGTGTGTGTGTGTGTGTGTGTGTGTGTGTGTGTGCATGTTTTATTTATTGATTCGTTTTCTACGGCTTATCAACCCACTGCAGGTTACTTCCAGATAAGCTATTTTTAGATTGGAACAATTTTTTTGAAATAGAAATGATTTAGTTGTACAAGTTTTACTAATTAACCCATAGCTGGGGAGAAAAGAGGTGGATTCATACCTTTCCCAAGGTTATTTGTGTGTAAGTGAATATAAAGAAGCCAACTGGAATTGGAACTCGACTCTCCGATTAGCAATTCCGAACTATTACCTTTTACCCTACCTGCACATACAAGCTTACAGCACCTGGTATTCTCAAGCAGGTCACCCATCTAGGTACTAACCAGACTCAACATTGCTTAACTTCGCTGATCGTACGGTGTTTCAACGTGATGTGGCAATAAGGCGTCTGTGTTAGTGTGTGTGTGTGTGTGTGTGTGTGTGTGTGTGTGTGTGTGTGTGTGTGCGTGTGCTTCCGTCTGTATTGGTGTATTTGCATGTCTGACTATTCTATATATAACAGGATCAGAGTGTAGTATCTGTGCACCTATGGGAAACGCGTTACTCACTAAAAATATATATGTGGATACATATTTTGCATCACATATGCATATGTGCATTTGTTATTTTTCGCGTGTGTGAGCGTGTGCTTTTGCTTACAAATATGATTATTGCAGATGTTGTTGGGCACGTGACTGAGTGGTTAGAATGGTCCAGTCATAGACCCGGGTTCAAATTTCACCATGATTCAAGGATTTGTCAAGGATTTGGCTTCTTGGCATTATGGACCTTGTGAAGCAATCCATAGCCTGGATTTGTCAGTCTAATTGGGTAGACGGATCTCTTTAGAAGCCTTCTATGGTCACAAGTCAGTGTCCTTGTTTAAACTTTTGATCACGTCAGGTTTTCCGCTTTTCCCCAGAAATTGTAATTAAGTTTCGCTCAGCATAGCCGCATTATAATCTACAGGTAGAATCTGTGGGTGTTGAAAAGAACGGAGATGTGCCTGAGCAGGCGTTTGCAACAGGGATTGGTTAGCTAAAGCTCGGAAACAAGTATCCGTCCATTATTATAAATTATGCCTCTGTGTATATGAGTTTGCGTATGTATTTTTGGAGATAGAGGTTAGAGAATCGATGCACTTTCCTTGGAGATAATTCGAAATGAAGAGGAGAAAAAGAAAAACTGATACATTTTCCGGGATAAAGATACATACGTGTATAAGCGCAATGATATATATATATATATATATATATATATATATATATATATATATATATATAACAGGTAGTAATCCGTTGGTATAATCCAGGCGAGTTCTATTAACACAACATAGAATTTGAAATATGTTAAAACTGATTCACAAAAGAGCACTCAATGCTTATTTTCATTAAACAAAGCAAAATTTTCTTTACAATTGGAATTAAGATACCTTTAGTTAATGAACATTTTCACCTACGAATTTGAATTTTAGAATTCGCAGGAATTTTCAAACTGTTTATGGTATCAGTTTGTAGTGGGATACTGGTTAGTCGGGGGTAAAAAGATTGGGCGGCATAGACTTAGTGGGAAATATGAAAGAAAAAGAAAAAAAATCATAAGACGCTTAAACTTAATTCTCATTAAAATCGGTCCAAGTTACAGGAACACCCTTTATAAACAGAAATATATATGAATAAACCGAGATAGAAAAGTAGATAGAGTGATAGATAATGGATAGACTGGCATAGATAGATAGATAGATAGATAGATAGATAGATAGATAGATAGATAGATATGGAGATACTGAGTCAGACATAGCGGTATATATATATATATATATATATATATATATATATATATATATATATATATATATATATATATATATGTATATATACACGAAGAATTGAAGAAAGTGAGATAGATAAATAATATGCGTCTCGCAGTCCAAAATAGGACCGAATGATAAAACATCAGAATTTATTTGCAATGCTTTCTTGCACAACAGACCTCGAACTTTTTTCTTTTGGTTACAAGTTACCTTACTAGCCACAAACTCATTAATCATTCGAAAGGCAAAATATCCGCTACGTTCATTGCTAACATAAACCTTTTGAGCAATTTTTAAACTATTTTTCGCAACTGAGACTTAGCCAGAACAGCATAGATTTAAGCATTGAGATAGGAAATAGGAATAAACATAGAAATTATAGGTAGCAAGCAAAATAGATAGATAAGTAAATTTATAGATGCGAATAGGCTGAGATAGATAGATACATACATACGAATAGGCTGATAGATAGATAAGCGAAATAGACTGAGATAGATATGAATATATTAAAACAGATTTATAGATATAGATTGAATAAACTGAGATAGATATTAACAGACTAAAATAGATATGGACAGTTATAAATAGATGAATATGAACAAAGATTGATAGAAACAGAGATAGATAATGAGACACACACACACACACACACACACACACACATATATATATATATATATATATATATATATATATATATATAGAAAGAGAGAGAGAGAGAGATATGGAAAAACTGAGAATTAACCGACTGAAAGGAGACAATGGAATGGAGGAAAATGAGAAACGTAAAATAGCGCGAGAAAAGAGACAAAAAGAAAAAAAAATGATTGAAAGAACTTGTGGGGGGAAATAAAGATAGAGAAAGACATGAAAAGAGCGAAGGAGACAGATAGATAGATAAAGAAAAAGAGAGAAAAAAATTAAAATAATTATAAAAGTGATAAAGATAGAATCTTCGAAAGATATATATAAATATATATATTCCAAGGAAGTAGATTCGGTGGGGCTAAACGAATAAGTGAGTTAATTGAGAGGAAGATGGTAAGAAAGTTTCGACGAACGTGATTATACGGACGTCAGTTTTAGCCCAGAGACAATTCACGAAACTCCATTGTAACTCGAAAGCCCGGCCCTCATGAGGCGTTGACTGATAACAATATTCGTAACTTAAATTACATCTCTACCGGCACTGGCGCATTTACCCCCATCGCTCCATCTCCCTCATTACCTCTGCTGCCACCAACATCATCACAATCGACAGACATTGTGGTAGTAGCAGCAACAGGGCTGTTGCAGATGGAAAGCTGCTAAAAGGTAAGGTTGTCGCAGACTTGAATCTGTAAAGCCAGGAATAATCGAATCATATGTTTTATCGGCGAAGGTTATTACATGGAATTATTAAGATGAAGATATATTTGTAGACATCATTAAAACTAATTCTGGTATCAGTTTCTTCCTCTTCATTTCTAGGGGTAATTTGATCACAAATGCTACTCACCTTATCTCTATATAATAATAATAATAATGATGATGATGGAATCTAAATCTCAAAAATGTGGCACACTAGAACATTAAATTCCAGTTGTAGTTGGAGCCCTCGGATTGATTGGAAAAGATTCCAGGTAGCCCATGCGTTAAAGAAATACAAAAAACTTGTTCTCACGAGTACAGCCCACACTTTACGAAAAGTTTTATCTATGTAAAATATGTGTGATTTTTTTTTAAATTGCTCAATGGAAAATATCATAATTCCGTTTCTGACCTTAGGTCTTTGTTCGGGACCCGGAAAGAAATGAGTAACACGCCAGAAATCAAAGAAAATAATAATAATAATAATAATAATAATAATAATAATAATAATAATAATAATAATAACAGCAGCATGGATCGTTAACACTTTACAAAACACGTTGGTCTGTAAATTACTGGAGTTTAACGCGTTTGAAGACGAGTAGATTTTTGTAAAGAAACTGATCGGTATTAAAAATAGAACAACAATAGTTACTAGATAGTGATTTTCCAAGCGTCGCTTGGATGTGGCACAAGGCCGAGAACAATAGTTACTAGATAACTGAAATTTCAAAGGACTTATCTTCCAACTTTTTCAGATACACTGCTTGTCATTTATCTGATGCTGACGAGCGGTGAATTTGCGAAAACTTAAAGTCAAAAGATAATTCTTTCTATATGTGTGTGTATATGTATGTATGTATGTATGTATGTGTGTGTGTATGTATGTATGTGTGTGTGTATGTATGTATGTATGTGTATGTATGTATGTATGTATGTGTGTGTGTGTGTATGTTTTCCACAAAATTTGGAGAATTTGTCATGGAAAAGAAAATCATATTTTTTACCCTTGGGCATGAATACACTGACTCACAAAAATAGTGGAAAAATTATGTGCCGTTCCTTTTTGTCGAACTTTAGGAATTATAATCAGTTGCATGTGTCTGTTTTGTGGTTGAGATGGTGAAATTTGTTCTCGAAAATAAGAATTATTTTACAAAATAGCTCTAGCAAGATGGTTGTTGTTTTCCTGTAATCTCTGTTGGATGGTTTCCCATTCAGAGCACAAAGATTACCAAATGGAATATTATCATTATTTAGTATGTTGCATGACTTCTGATTGGAATTGGCACCACGGGATTTGTAAAAAACTGATATCCCCCAACACTGAATGAAGAGCATGTATCGTTGTATTTAAGTTAGTTAATTAACCAATCAAATGCGTGAACAAACAGTTGTTCGTGGGGTTACTCAGTCAGTAGCGAGTGAGCTTGTGTTCCGTGTGAGCGTTGCATTTATCATAACGAGGCTTTTGGCTAAACATTGCAGCAGACAGGGATGTCGGCCTCTTTTCAGTTTTGAGATGGATCGTATGGCTTTTCAAAGAAAGTGAAATTGATCTTAAAAGTAGATTTAATGTCTGTAATAAAATCTTGACAGGAAAAATGCACTAAGATATTTGCAAATATCCATAGACGCTCGTACGGTTATTTACATTATTTCCATTATTCGGACTGTTGTCCTCATCTTTATTGCCATATTCACGATGTTTCGGCCGTTGTACGCTCCAGCCTTCTTCAGGTGATTGGAATTTCGAACTGAACGCCTTATTTCGCCCAGATTGTTCTAGTTCTAAGTGTCATGCCTCTTCGGCATGTGTCCATTATCTCCCAACGTTTTTGTACACCATTTCAGCAGCCACGTATTGAACTCACTACCCAGGGTAGTTGTTACATTGAGTAGTACTACTTACAAAGGGAGAGGTTCAGCTACTACTGGACCATGTGAACTCAATAAGATCATCGATACAGTTCACAATGGAGAGATAACAACAAAAAACTCACATTCTTGGATGTACTAATATCTCGAACAGAGCAGGGGTTCAAATCATCTGTATACCGTAACTCAACATTCACCCGACAATACCTCAACTTCAACTTCCAACAGCCATTCATTGTAAAGAAAGGAATCGTCCGCTACTTACGACATTGAACGAAAGTCATAAGTGGCGACCCGGAGATATATGAACAAGAAATGGTCAGTATAAGCAGTACACTACAACG